ACGTTTTTAAACAAGTTTAAGTAACATTTTAAAAATGAATTAAATTCCCGCTTGACAACCTTCAATTTGTACTTGTTTGTTTTTACGACATAACGCTGATGTCCTCAACTATATTTTAATAAAATTCACCGATAAATTGTTTGGGCCACTTCGTTGACAGTTTATCACTTGGCCAAAAGTTCGCGCGAAGAAACTTAAATTACTTACTTTCCTTCTCCGCGAAAATTAAATTGCCAACTTTTCTGATGGCTTCAGCTCGCTGATATTGATTAAATTCGGAAGTAATAAAAAAAAGGTTACCGCCGTTGACACTTTTCGGAAATGGGTGGATGAAAACCCAAATTGAAACTGACATAAACCCAATGAACTTAACTCAAACAATTTAAATGCAAACTTAAACACATTGTTTCAGATTCGGAACGTGTAAATTAGATTTTGCTCACATAAATCATTCGGAAATATTTATTTATAATTAAAAGAAGACCCCCCAAGGAATGTATTGTACCTCCTGCAATTTATGGAAGTAAACTAAATATATAGGGGAATGTTGTCAGGGTTGGGCCGTTGTCAGGGTCGGGCCATCTCAATATTTCGAATATTCGTTCTAGAACAATCTGTTTGTGGGTGTCTAGAAACTTCTATCGGTCACTCGAAACTTTCCACGTGACTACTTATTTCGGGATTTCATTCTTCTACGCGTCGTTGCTCCGTGAAGAAAAAGTGCTCGAAAAAGTTTTTTTTACCTGGCCGAAAAAGGTGAATATCACAAGAAAACAACATGTCATCCGCAAGGTGAGCATAAAAATACGTTATATAGTTATTTTTTTACAAAATACTAAGATATAGTTTCATTGTGAGATATAGTTTGGCTATATCATACCATAATAGATTAATACCGCATGTCGTCAGGGTTGGGCCACTTGTGTAGTCAGGCTTGGGCCATCATAATTTTTACATTTTATTCGTGTATTTTCGATTTTTGTAGTAATATTTAAGTTTTTTGTAGCAAAAATATGCAAAATAAATTAAATAGATTTTCTTAAAAAAATATTTCGATGGATTGAAAGAAGATGAATCATTTTTATCTTTTTCTTTAGTGTTTCTCGCTACAAACGAAAAAACAACTCTGAATAATTTTTTATTTACTGTAAAATCCTAAATAATTAAATAAATGAACAAAATAATGTCAGATAAACCTGAATTCAATTTTATTCCACCACGTTACGATATTGTCAACGATTTTCTGAAGGTGGCCCAACCCTGACTACATGGCCCAACGCTGACTACATTTTTTTTTTTTTTCAAACGCCTATAACTTTTTTTGTTTTTGTTTTTTTGTTCTCTTTTTTTGGTGAACACTTCCTCTTGCTTGTACCTTTCCAAAAATGTATAAACTTATTCTGAATTGTCATTGGTTCAGAAGTTATGGACATAGGTCAAAACATGGCCCAACCCTGACAACATTCCCCTATCTTGATTATAACACAAAGCAGTGAGAGAGAGTGGAAAATAAACACTAAATCTCATGGAAAATCCATTGGCCATGCAAAATCTTTTGGTAAGTGGACAAAATAAACTCGATTCCACGTGCATATACGTATATATATACATATATATGTAAGCTGCACAAATTCCTGTGCTTATACAGCTCCTTTAAAAACATTTATTTATAATTATGCCACACAAAAGGGAGATGATGATGGAATGATGGAAGAATGTCTGTGCAGTTCGTTAAAATCTCTGTGGTGAAGTTCATTGAACCGTTGGCAAAATGAACTCCATTTATATATATAAATATATACACTTTTATATTTATATATATATTTAAAGTGTTGTGCCATTTTAATTATGCTTACTCGGGCTTGATGAAAAAAGTGTTGTGCTCTTGGGTCTTAAAGCTTTTCATTTGTAATTATAACAATTCCGCGCTGCTCCGGCCAAATTGCAAACTGCAGCGAAAATAAAATAGGAAAAAAAATAGCGAAAAATAGCAGAAAAAATAGGGGAAAAAAGTAGAAAAAATAATGCCAGTGCTTATGTAATTACAACACTTCTAAAGGGCCCAGTTGAGTTGCGATAAATGGGACTCGGGACGTTTGAATGGGGATTACTTCCATGGGCCCACATACTTCGGGTAATTCCCGGTTAATTGGACTGTCAATTGAACGGGAAGTCTGGAAGTGTGGAAGGGGGTTGCGAAAAGGGGGATGGGGGAGGGGGGGAGGGGTTTTCTGGTAATGGAAGGGCTCAGAAGAGCGGAAAACTTTGTTGGCCAACCAGTTTCCATGCAGGCTGCATCTGCTGTATCCCTAGGAAAATCCCCCACTTCCTCGCCCCCCCTTTTATCTCCAGACATTTTGCCATGTTTTTACCCGCTTTTCCCCCGTGTTTACCCTTTCACCCACCCAACAGATTTTCCACCCCCCACCACCACCAGCTTTTCCTCTTTTTTCCGCCCTGTCTCTTAACATTTGTGCAATATTTTGCCATGAATTGACGGGCTCGTTGATAGGCATTCGATGGAATGGAGGAAAATCGGGGGGAAAGCGGGGGACTTTTGCCGTTATTTGTATGGCCTAAAACTTTTTCGTAATACCCGATCAAAAGCGGGCGAAAGAGGAAGAGAAGGGGGAGCAGGAAAAGTCTGTTTGCAAATTCAATTGAAATTGCATTTGAAATCATTTCGGCATTTGGCATTATTATACATACTATGTTATACTCAACTGAACTGAACAGAACAGAACAGAAGCACTCAAACAAAAGTTGCTGTTTGTGTTAGTTGCAATTTACCACAATTTACCACAATTTGCACAATTTATTTGCTTTTGCCTTTGACTCTTCAACTCGGGAATGCCCTCTGTTTTTATTTAATTTCATTCGCCCAGCCCAGCCTTTCCATTTCATATTATTTCATTTCATTACAGTCCATTGCAATTGTAACACAAAAACAAAAAAAAAAAAAAAAAAAAAAGAAAAACTTTTACGCCCCACCCAAAAAACCATTTTGGCCACTCATTTTTATTGTTTTTATTTTTGGGCAAGAGAATGCGGTTTTTCTTCCTTTTATTTTTCTGTTTCTGTTGTTGTTGTTGTTATTGTTGTTGTTATTTTCACCCTTTTTGCCGACCAAGATTTGACCAACAAACGGCCATCGGGAATCGGATTCCTCATCCTCATCCTCATCCTGATTTTCATCCGGTAACGTCCTTGTCCGGTGGAAATATCAACGGCAAAGTGTCGATTGAAAGCAATTTGATTTGGCCAACAATCTGCTGATTTGCTGATTTGCCAATTTGACGATTTGCCCCGGCTGTCAGTGTGAATTTTCCCCAATTGCAATTGTGAAATTATCGTGCGAAAATTATCCAAACTGGGGAATAGGTCTACTTTTAATCGGCACACTTCATCGGATAAATTTCTTTGTTGTTTTATTATGGTTTTTGGCTTTTTGGTTTTTTTGTTTCTATTTTTTTTTTTTTGACGCAGTGGGATTTTACGCTATGCCAAAAATTGCGTAATGGCCAAAAAAGCCGAAAGCCGAAAATCAAAATGCGGCAAGTTGCGAAATGGAAATTTATTAGCCGCTTTGGGGGCTGCGAGATGTAAAAACATTTCGCGCCGAGCGAAATCCTTTGGGGAGTCACGCTAGATTGACCACGAATTAAAGCCATTATCGGCCGAAAAGGCCGACCCTTGTGTGTATCTATCTATTATTCAGGTTTTTGAGACCCCTTCTGCTCCTGTTCCACAGTTCTCCCGTATTTTCCCCATTTTCCCACATTTTTCCTATTTGTTTTTTTTTTTTGTTTTTGTTTTTTTTTTTTTTTTTGCTTAATCCGCTTAAAGCGGTTCGGCAAATGTTAAAATTCCAGGATTAGGGAGTGCAGTAACATTGGCTAAGGTCAAACTGTTATACTGTTATACAGCTTGCGATCCACTCCGGCATTCCCCTTGCCCAACAGCGAGGGGAATCTGTTCGAATCGGGGGAAATTAGCCGAAGTATCGCTGTTAACGCTTTTAACAGACTTTTGACTCGATGTTGAGGTAGTCAGCAGCTGGGCCATTGGGTACAACATAGCGAGGGGTTGCTGTACCGCAGCACGAAGCCACTCGGTTAACAGCTCTTCCCGGGTGCATTGTTCAGGTACTCGTATAACGGTAAAGCTATCTCCCACATGACTTCCATGCCGGCATTTTCTCCTTTTTAGCAAAGAGATGCTCGCGTGAAAGCCAGCGATTCGAGCAAACTGGAAAATATCGGTTTCTAAAAACAGATGTTTTCAAGTGATAAGTTTGTTTCCTATTTTAGTTACACAAAAATATTTTTAAACTGTAAATTAATAAAGAAATCTTTTTTTTATTTAAATAGGCGTTTAAATGATCGTTTTTTGTTCATATTAAATTTTATGAAAAATGTATAAACAAATTCTTTGTTTAAGAGACAGTTTCCCATTTGATTTTGAATTATATCTTCCCATTTTAACTCTGAATTTTTGTTTGTTAAAGCTATTTTGTATACAACTTAATTTATTTTAATCTTATGTATATTTATGTTTGCTATTTTGGTGGTGAGTTGCACAATTAAAAACTTTTCACCTCGCACGTATGGTTCTTTTATAGCAGTTATTTCCAACTTTATAGAATTTTGTTGAAATTTAACTTAGCTACGTAGTTATGGCTTCGAGCGATATAATTATCCTTTATGGCAGCGATTGTCCCAAAGAGGAAAATAGGACGAAATAATGCTTACTACAGAGTAGCAAACTTGAAAACAGGACGAAATAAAGTTTCAAACCGAGTTCCAAACCGGAAAACAGGACGAATTTAAGCCTTTTCCGAGTTTTAAACCCAAAATCAGGACGAAATAAAGCTACTTTAGAAATCCAAGCTCAAAGCTTTTGAAATTATTTTGCAAAGAGAGTGAAAGCAAATGAAATTGGACCAAAGTTGTTGCTGTTTTGCTTTTTGGCCAGCTTTCTCTTCCAGTTGGCCGCGAGTTTTGGCACCGAACGGTCTGCGAAAATGAGCGAATTTTCCGCCCGCACTTCCGCTTCCTGCTCTTCCTCTTCCCGCAGCGCAGCTACTTGTTATTATTGTTTTTGCTGTTAAATCAAAGTGATACAACAATTGTTGATTAAAAGTGGCCAAGTGAACAGCTAAAAATCTAAGTGGCAAAAACACAGGAAAAATCAGGTAAGGTGTTGCTCTTGTTTTTAGCTTTTTTTTTTTTTTTGGTTGAGAAGTGAGAAAGGAAAATCCTAGGAAAATCAAAATGAGCTGCGATTGTCTGTGTGTGTTTGTGTGTGCTGGTGTGTGCTGGTGTGTGTGTGTGTTTGTGCGTGTTGCTCTAGATTTTTGGCCTTTTATCTGGTGCCTTCATCTCCTGCGTTTTTCCCCATTTCCCATTTCTGATTACTTTGACTTTCGCCAGCTTTTCACTCTCGATTTCACAGTGAAAACTTTTTGATTTCCGCTCTTTGTTTTACTATCATTTCTTGTATTTTTTTTTCGGCTTTCTATCCCTTTTGATGGACGAACTGGGCTAAGGGCTACAGTTGTCTCTCGCTGACGTGACTGGCGTTCATTTCTCAGTTTGTCCCATTTTTTGTTCGAGGGAAATGCGAAAAGAGGTCACTTGCCCGCCATCTCGACTCAACTCGCTTATTGGCTAATGCTGGGCGACACTTTCAGGCCCGAAACTAACGGTATACGTATGTATATACCACATACTATATATATAGATATATATGAATATATGTGTATCTGAGATATCGGGTGTGCAGAATGTGCACCTGCTGCAACAAAAGACAGAGGAACGACCTCGCAGTAGGTTAATGAAAAGTGCCACTTCTGTTGGCTGTTGGCTGCTGTTGCCTGCATTTTGCCTTTGCACGCTTTTGCTGCTTTTGCTGGTTGGCTTTAGCCCGGTGCCTCTTGGCCCGGCTAAAAGTTCTCCTAAGCCACTCTGATGTGTGGCCAACTGGGCCCTACACTAGCCGCATTTTAATGGCCTATTAAGTCCCAGATTACACACAGTTCCAGCCAAACGAAATGCTCTACTTTTGTGGCGCCCTATAAAGATGCTCCTTAAGTTTCGGATTTTACAACCCTTCCACCTAAATGTACTCACACCGAAGTTATGTTCAGAATTTAAAGCAACTTTAAATGAGATGACATCAACATCTTCTAGAACTCTTATATTTTTGTGTGTTTAAGGAACATTTTTTCATCATTTAGGAGCAATGATTATTATTTCTACTATGCAATTGGTTTTTTATTTTTTGTTATCCAAAGAAATGTTCCTTATTGTTTTAGAAAAATTAATCTAATTTTTGCCCAAGAATCCCTTCAATATTTTTTTGCAGTGTAGTCGGAGGGTGAGTGCCCAATTAAGGGCTCATTACACACATTAAGTGTAAAGGGTTGCATTTAATATTTACACGAGGAGGCAGCCAACAGAATCGCAAAAAAGCGGACCGATTAGCCAGATAAAACGGAATAAAAAAGGATACAAACTTATGGAAACTATTAAAACCGAAAACGTAAACTATAAATAGAATTCATAAAGATTTCGCAGTACTTTACCTTATGCGAAATGAAACTCAAGCATAAAGCTGCTGGTAATATTATGGACTCAAAGGATTCCCATCTCTTTCCATCAGAACTTCCTTATCAAGGGTGTCCCATGTGCGAACCCCACCTCCTCCCACTCCTAATTGTACTATAATGCACTTAGGCCAGGGCATATCGTATAATTAAACCGATTTAATGCCCAGCTCAATGAACTGAATGCGATGCACTCTGCCAGGCAGATTCGAGCAAATTAATGCGGACACTAAATAGATAAATATACTCGTATGCCAAGGCTTAGCGAACACTTCCTCTTAATGGCCTTGGGAAATATAGTACAGTGAAACTTCGTTGGGATACACTTTTGGGAGGAAATTGTAATGAAAAAGGAAATGCAAAATAAGTAAAACTGTTCTTTAAAAACATTACTTTACCTAAAGGAATGAAATATAATTTTAATTATCATATAAAAATACGTTTTTATTCTTAAGAAACATGAAACTATTTTATGAGATGTAAAACAAGTTTGAAATCCATTAAAACCTTTCTCCATAATTTCTTGTAAATTTCGTCACGTTCCGACAGTTTGTTCACCCTACTCGAGCTTGACTGTAATCCTTCGTAAGTCGCAAGTCGGCAGTTACCTAAGCTCTTTGAGTGCCCCACGAATGATAACGTGGGTGATAAAGAGTTTCGGGAGCTGTCAGCGGAGTGATCCATTGTCATTTCGGGGCGAAACGCCTCCTCGTTTTTCCACATTTCCCGCATTTTCCCATCGCCGCTTTGAAGTGGCAATGCTGCGTCTTCGGTTACAAATTCAATTGAAAAACTGTCAAAGTTTGTGATTGAGAACGAGAACGAGAACGAGCACCTGTCCCCGCCCCCAAAACCAAAAGAAAGAAAAACAACAAGATGATGAGGCAAATTGCTCACAGTGTAAAGCAATGCGAGATGAAAGTGTTTTCCAAATCTCTCAGAATACCAAGCTATTTCACCTCACCGCATTGTCATCAGTCTCCAATGAAAACATTTGGGTTTTATTTTCGTTTTTAGGAGCAGATAAATTGCGGAAAGATGAGTCATTATCGAGTGAACTTGAAAACTTAGAAAGAGAACTATAAGAATAGAATAAAATATATATAGAATAGAATAAAGAATATTTTGTATTTTAACCCATAATGGTGGATAATAAAAAAGTAGTGTAATTTGCTTTGTTGATATTAAATTATAGTGAAGAGGTATTTTCTTATTCTAAATTAAAACAACATTCTAAATAATGTTTTGCATTATTTTAAGATACTTTCAAGTAAATGTTTTATACAGATGTATCTTATTTCATAAAATTGTTATAGTTATAAATATTTCTATAATTATTTATTATTCTTATTTTTCAGCTGGAAGGTTGGGGAATGAATCAGGATTGGTAGACCCACTCGGATGGCACTCGCGTGGCCATGATGAGCTTCACCATTACGTTGGCGCTGCTGCTCCTGGCGGTCCTGATCCTGGGCGTCCTCTTCGCCTGTCACTGCCTCGGTCCGAGGGCCGCCAACTGGATGCGGATGCGGTCCAGCAAGGAGGAGAAGATCGGACTCTCGAACCACAAGCAGAAGCTCTTCCACGCCAACGGCTACATGGCCAGTGTAAGTGGTTCCACTGCCTTTGAGCTACTCAATTAAATTCATTTTTAGTTTGTATACATATTTACAAATTTATATCAAAGCCAAAATTAAGCATATTATCTGTTTAGGCAATTTAACAAAAATTCATAAGCATAAGCAAAAGTTTTCTTCAAAGCAGAAAAACTAACCCACATTTTAAGAGTTTTTTGAGGTTTATCCGGAATTAATGGCAATACTTGGTTTAATCTCCACTAGTTAAATATATATTATTCTTTAAGCTTACATTTATTTAAATAGTTTTTTAACGAATATAAATGTTATTAAGTAGTAATAATACTACTACAACAAGTTTAGGATAGCTTTCTCTAGTATCATTAAATTGTGTGCGATATAATATGTTTATATTGATTTAATTATTGAATTATTATTATTATATATATTATATATATTTTGATAAGCAAATAAATAGGTATGCAATTTTTATTAAACGACAGATCCAATCGGGCTCGGAGTTCCTGCTGAGCACGAGTGGCAGCTTCAAGCGCTTCGACACGATCGACAGGGAGGACTACCACCGATCGCAGCAGACGACCCACATGATCCTGATGAACGGATCCCTGGCCGGATCCTCCGGCGCCCTCGAGGCGGCCACGCCCATTTGGAACCTACCCCCGGCGGATGTGGGCATTCCACCGCAGCCACTTCGACCGGCGCCAGCTCCGAATGGCAAAACGGTGACCTTCTCCTTCAGCCAGGTGAACGAGGTCACCGAGGTCAGCGAGGTCAGCGAGGTCAACGAGGTCAACGAGATGACCCCGAACGGCGATCACGAGCGTCGCTCCTGTCTGCGAATGAACGGATCTGCAGTGGGTGTGCTGCCACAGCCACTGGAGGCACCGCCTCCTCCAAGGCTGACCACTTCCGCATCGGTGAATCTCACGGGAACGGCGATTCCGCGCCCGATCGCCAAGCGACAGGTTTCCCTGCAGCAGGTTGGCCAGGACAAGCCACTGGTGACCCCAGCGGTGGAAATTGAGCGAAAAGCACCTGCTCTGAAGCGCAGAAACTCCAGCACAAATCCCTTCCTCTGCGAATCCACCGAACAGATGCCGCCGAGCAATCCCATCGGAGATCCCCTAAATGCCACAATGGTGTCCCTGGAAAGTACCACGATTTCTGCTGGGGAAGGCAGTCCTGTGAAATTGGTTCTTCCCCCCAGGGAAGCCACTCCGCACAATGGCAATCCCTTTGTGGAGAGCCAAAGCCTCTCCAGTCGACTGATGAAGCTGCACAACAGCACCACGAATCCCTTCACAGGATTAACGCAACGGGTCAAGGGACCTCATCTGCTGCAGAAGACCATCTCCGAGGATTATCTGTTCAGGAAATTGGGTGTGAACAATGGTTCGATGGCCAATGGAAATGGCGGTGCTGCTCAGGCGAACGGAAATGGCAATGGAACTTGGTCCTTTGGCAGATCCCTGCTGCGACAGGACTCCACTTTGAGTTTGGGAATGGGATTGGGTCGCCGGAACAGCTCACAGATTTCACTTGACTCCGGATCGGGTTCGGTGGCGGGTTCCCTGGAGGGAATCAACCTGGAAAGAGCCATTTCCTGCGATTCGGTCACCTCGGACTCGACGCTCTTCCTGGATCAACTGGACCAGCCATACACCCAGATCACTGGATATCTGTGCATTGGATTGCACTATGACAAGTGGGTTTCCCCCTTTCGGGAATACTATAAGGTATTCAATCTATTATTTTGTTTTTTTTTTCGAAGGAACAGCATCAGCAACGAGGGCATGGAGCTGACTGTCAGTGTGATCGAGGCCAAGGGACTCATTTGTCCCTTTAGTGTGGAGTCGTTGGACACGTTTGTGCGCATCTATCTAGTTCCCGATCACCCAGGTGCCATGCAAACGAAGGTAGAAAAAGTCACTTAAGTAAATACATACTGAGAATATTCTAAAATATATTTATTAGAGGCTCGACCATATACAAATTTGTTTTGATCAATCAAATCATTTTTAACTGTTGCTTAAATTAATTCACTACAAAGAGGTAATGATTAGATAATTTATTAATGAAAAAATCATGAAAAGTTATGTATTTGCTTATGTTAAAGAATTTTAAGATCTTAACTTCTATAGAAAATATAAATAAATATAATTTAATTTCTATAGAAAATATAAATACATATTTTAAGTACCTGTAATCGTCTGTATAAAAAAAATTTCATTGGAAGTGGTAATAAAAAAAATTAAACACATAACTTTGTGAATATATAGAAAATAGTTAATATTTATTGATATAATTATAATTTATTTTACAAAATGTTAACTTGGGTTATAATAGGTATATATTATAATAATCACATTTCTTAAATTTATTACCTTCCAGGTGGTGAAGGCTGCACTGACGCCGAACTACAACGAGAGCTTCAACTTCTGGCTGCAGAAGCGGCAGGCGCGCCACTCGCTGTGGTTCCACCTGTACCACAACGGCCCCGCCCACACCTTGATTGGGGAGGCGGAGATGGAGATCGGGGAGCAGCCACGGCCCATCACCACGTGGATCCCGCTCTCGGACTCCCGCAAGTGCAACGCCCGCTGGGGCGAGCTGATGTTCTCGCTGAGCTACCTGCCCACCGCCGAGCGACTCACCATCGTGGTGGTGAAGGCCAGGAACCTCAAGCTGGACGCCGATCAGCCTCCGCCGGACTCGGCCGACTCCGTGCACAGCGTCTTCGTCAAGGTGAGAGATCGCAACCATAATCCCATCATCATTTTGGGGGGAATCCTTCTAAGCGAGAAATTAAAAATTATGTTTTTAAGTTATTTGCACCTTCCATTAAAATTGGGTTCTATTTTTATAACTACGTGCGAACATAAATAAATGAAAATCAAATTGGATATTACTTCTAATCAGGTTTTAGTTGATTAAATTAGACCACTTCAAAACGATTAAAAAGAATAGAAAACTAATATCAAAGCAGAGCAAAATATCACAACACCAAATCGTTGAAAATATTAACTAATTTGTTTATGATAATGAGAAAGCAATTATTTTGGATTTTTTTTTTTTTTTAATTTTCAAAAGTAAACCATTAATATTGATTTGCATTGTATGTGTTGGGATTATCAATACAAATCTTCAGTATACAAGGCACAACATATGCTTAAGTTTCCCTATAAACATTTTCAAATCTGTAACATTCAGCAACAAAATAAATTAATCACTTAAATTAACCACAAAATTAAACAATTACGAGTAGTAAATGAGGGCAAGAGTAAGGCATTTGTTGAGGTTTTTCCCCAGGCATTTTTCTATCGATCGATCTATATATCTATCTATCTATCTATCTATCAATCTATCTATCTATCTATCTATCAATCTATATATCTATAATTTATCCCCTTTCCCCTCTTTTCCCTCGCAACAGGTCTACCTGATGGACAACGATCGCAAGGTGCTGAAGAAGCGCACCTCGCTGAAGCGCAAGGACCGCAGTCCCATTTTCAACGAGTCGATGATCTTCAGCGTACCGCCGCCCAGTCTGACGACCGCCCAGCTGCGGGTAACGGTATTCGGGGTGACCGCCAGCGGGGGGGTGATGCCGCTGGGCCACATCGTGGCCGGCAGCTGTGCGGTGGGGAAGGGGCTGCGCCACTGGCACCAGATGCTCTCCTCGCTCCGCAAACCGGTGGCCATGTGGCACGTCCTCCGCCGGGCGGTCAATCAGCCAATTTTCACGGGCGGCGCCGAGGCGGTCGTGGCCGCCATGCAAAACACTCTGCGCCGCTCGAGCGCCAAGCGGAACAGCATTGTCTAGACTCTAGTTACCACAATCTAGACTCTAAACTCCGAAATCCAAAGATCACAGGCGGCAATCCTGCAACTTGCCACTGGCAACGGAGAGAGATTTTCCCCCTCGTTGGCAGCAAATTTACCGCCTTTTAAGTTCGAAAAAGAAAACCCTTTCGAATGGAGATAAAATGAGAGAAAAAAGGACGGAAGGAGGACGAATTGGAGTAGGGAAAACCTTGTGGAAAATTGCATTTACCACACTTTAGCCATGAGACTTTCTACTTTTCTACTGCTTGCCACAAACCGAAAGTATTTATCAAAGAGCCGTGTAATCTAAAAACCCGCACCAAAGGACAAACGAGCCTATTAACTAGTTATATACTATATACTATATACTATATACTATATACTATATACTATATACTATATACTATATACTATATACTATATACTATATACTATATACTATATACTATATACTATATACTATATACTATATACTATATACTACATACATACTATATATATACCCAGTATTGTCGCGCACTCAATTGTTATGTAAAGATCTGGATCGGAACGAGTATATATCTATCTGGATGTCGCGATCCGAGAGTCACACACTTGTTGAAATTTGTCGCATACGGCGAGCGAAATAATTGGGGAACTCAAATGGGTTCTTGGTTTTTAATAAAATTAAATATTTTCAGTTATAACTATTAAAAACAGTACGGAATTTCCATTCTAAAATTTTAATTAGATTTATTAACTGAAATAATTGCATTTAGAGAATATATTTGCTTTGTTTTCAATCAGCTCTAAATATTTCCAACTTTGGTACACCAAACCTTAATGAAATATATTAGTTAGGAGTACAGCAAAAGAAATCAAACCCAATAGAACACCAAAGCAATACAATTATTTCGCGAGCCGTATGATATAGTATAGCGACCAGTGAGCCTGTTATATGATATTAGAACTCTATAGATAGATCGTTGTTGAATTTAAAGCCCAAGCGAAGTGGAAATCGAAATGGAAACTTAAATTGAAAATGAAAATGAAAACGAATGTAGGAAATCGAGAATGGAGAATCGAAAATAGAAAATCGTTAAGCGGGGAGCCCTTTAAGCATTGTGATATGAAAAAAAATAGCAAAAAGAAAATAGCAAATGGAGGAGTAATTTCAGAGTGCGTCTGTATCGAGATCAAATGGAATCGTATCGAGGAGAATCAAAGTATTTACAATAGCTACAATCCATAGCCGATATGTATTATTATATATATGATACCATATTATATAATGTTTGTACTTTTGTGATTTGCGTTCGTTCGAATTTTGTAGAGCCGCGTGTTTTGTAATTAGATTTAGTTGGTTCAAGGATCAAACTTTTTAACGGGGATATATTATATATACACACACAAACAAACAAGCAAACAAACACACACACACACAGCAAAACGGACAGATATCGATTTCCATTTAGAGAGCGTTTTTTAAACAGTAAAGGACAATAACTTTGCAAGCATTTATGATTCCGCGTAAGTCAAGTAATTATAATTACCGAGCATTCAAATCAAGGTTCGTTGTTGTCCCCGATTAGCCAGATTGTCCTGCTGGATCCCCCCTAGATTATAGATTATAGACTATAGATGATAATAGAACGCACTCGAATAGTCAAATTCCTTGGCAGTCCTTTCCTAATCGCACCTGTATTCTGACCAAAAACCAATCGAAAACCTGGCACAAATTTAGCTGAAGCTTTAATCCACGTACTCTTTAAAAAACAACTCGAAAACTCAGTCAACTTTTTGAATCACACCAAATGGATATACTATATATACGGAGGGACAGTGCGTTTCACAATTGTAAAGAGTGAGATGATGTGACTTTTAAAAATGTTGTTATTTGAGGTTTGAAAACTCAAAATTTCCGATTCGATCACATATCTTAATTTAAAGCTGGCTGAATTTGATAATATTTGACAATCGCCTGAAGTTGGCCATCGTTTTCTTCCGAAATTTGAAAGCCGAGCTGTCTGATACTTGTGAAACGCTCTGATCCACATTGAATATATACAAAATATATAAATACAGAGGACAGCAAATGGAAAATCCTTCTCCAAAAACACTTACTTTTAAGAAAATATAAGCCGCTGAGCATTTTTTTTTCTTTTTTTACTGTTTGTTAGCCAAACTAATGAAGCGATCAAGTTAAACTCGTGTTGAATTTGTATTTATACGGAAATCTATATATACATATATATATATATATGAATGTGCGTGCTATATAAGATAATGCTACAAATTGTTATACAAGTAAACCGAAATTGAGTCAAATATACGAATAAAGATATTAAACGAAGACAGCCCGAAATCAATATGCACTTTGACGAAATACAGAGTCCAAACAAAGACGTGCGGATGGGATAGGTACGGTGAAGCCTCGTTAATTGAAAGCCCAACTAATTGGAGGTATTGTAAATCGATGCTCAGGTGAGTGTTTTATATTTTCTGACAAATAAATGATTTAAAACAAAGTTGTTCCAAACTTAAAGATTCTTTCCAATTTAAAAATTACATTGTAAATGAATTTTTAATTACTTTCCATTACGTTTTCATTTTAAGTTACTGATACTTGAAAGATTTTTTCTTCGTTATAAATGTTAATCTTACGTTGAAATAGTAATTTTTATAATTCCAATACAACGTAGTTTTATTTTTCCATTTTATTTGATATGGTAAAAAGTCTTTTTGGAATACTCAAATTAACTATACAATTCTATTCCATAAATTTTTAATAATAAAGGATAAATAACAATATATACATTTTATAGGTCTTATTATTCTATTTCTTGGAAACTCCTTAACTTTTGATCCCATCATAGACATTAAACTCCTTATATATTACTATGTAGTTCAGATTAGGGAGTTCCTCCTGTGGCAGAATGTATCTTTCTCGTGCTGATGCGAGCCATCTGTACTTCGATTGGACGTTCTATATTTAGAGCCAGCGATTAGCAGCCAATGGCAGACGAGGGCCCCATTCTCCTACCTACCATGCCATACCTACCATGCTATATCTCCGCTACAGCTATAGCTTCCCGTCTCGTGGGATCCCGAGAGCGAGACCACTTGACGATGCCAGACTGTCTGCCGGGGACAAGTGGCCGTGGCAGCAGCAGCGATCGCCAGAACCTCCAGGAGGCAGTGCTTAAATGTTCGCACCGCCACTCGCTGCCCTTTCAGTCGATCAGCGATCAAGGATGAGCAAGGACACGGGTGCCACCAGGATAACCATCAGCCAGCGGGAGCAGCGGCGTCTGCTGAGGACTCCGAAGTGTGCGAGGTGTCGCAACCATGGCGTCATCTCCTGTGTCAAAGGTCACAAGCGCTTGTGTCGCTGGCGGGAGTGCTGCTGCCCCAATTGCCAGCTGGTCGTGGATCGCCAACGGGTGATGGCCGCCCAGGTGGCACTGCGTCGCCAGCAGACGATGGAGGCCTTGGAGGCCACCGCCTCCTCCTCCTCCTCCGTTGGCGGAAAATCATCGGGGATAACCAGCAGCGAGGGCGAGGACTCATTGACCTCCGCCTCACCGCCGCCGCCGACGGCACATTCGGGAATCATCAACTCATCATCAGTACCTTCATCTGCATCGCTATCATCTATATCATCATCATCGATCACCCGACAAACCCTGATGGCCCAGAAGAGGATCTACAAGCAGCGGTTGCGCAGTTTGCAGCAGTCCACGCTCCACATCACAGCTGCCATGGAAGGTGAGTAAAAAACCCCTATGAAAATTACTATATAGACTCCCCCTATACCGCCACTTATGAAGAAATCCAACCCTTTTAATACAAGTATTTGATGGAAAGCCCACCACACACGTATCCATATATTTAGTATGTTAGTCTTGAGTTAACTAGACTGAAACCCAAAAACTCTAAACAAATTGCAAAATAGCAATCTTAATTAAACTACAATATTTTTAAATATAGTGGGAAATGCAAACAAAAATAATGAGCACGCTTTTTTTGCATCTTTTGGTAGCAAAGTCATTTATTTAGAAAGGGTTTTAAACTATATTATGCAAATAATATACAAAACACTAAATTATCTGTTAGATTTTTTCTTTATTTATATTTTCCAACAAGTGTTTATTTTATAATTGATTTGTATCAAAAAAAAGTTTTTTAAAGTCAGATTGTTGGCTTTAAGCAATGCAAATAACTCCCAAATGGCCAGAAATCCAATAAATTGTTAAATATGCGTAAATTATTTGAGAATTACTGGACCCGCCAGTTGAGTAGATGATGGTCCAGCTGAAATGATAGACATACAGACAGTCCACTCCCCCGATCCTCCGTCCCTCCGATCTACCGATCCTCCATACGGTGCCAGACTGTCTGGTCCGTCGGTAATTGGAGATCCCCTCCTGCTCTCCTACCCTCTCCCCCCTCTTTCCTCTCCACTCTCGCCACTCCTGACGTGGACAGGAAATGAGTGATGCCCAACAACACGGGCAACAATAACAATAGCAATTACTCGACTGACGAAAAACAATTGAAATCGGATGCCCCGAAATGAGCGTGTGTGTACGCACATTTTCCAATTCCAATCACTTGAGGGAGTCGCATTTGGTAAACTGATACGCCAAAACCAAAACGGAAAAACCTCTTCGACACAAAAAAAACGAAGAAGAGAGAGAGGAAAATGTGGCAACAGCAATTGACTTCTCTGGGTTTTCCCATCTGGTTTCCGAATAAGTGGCGATCCCAAAACCGAACCCAACCAAACGCAAACCCTAAAAATCCAATCGGTGCCAGACTGTCTGGCTCTGCGACGCGTGTCTCGGATTACCCAATATTAATGACTCCTATATCTACACCAGCCAGTCATAACGAATCGCGGCAATTTGTAGGGAGAACGCCCCCTTGAAAAACCTCACTAATATTCGGCTTACCTTTTACCCTTATTTTGTGTTTTCCAGAATACAAGCAGCGATTTCCCACGTTCAGTTCGCCGTTGATGGAACGCATGCGCAAACGACGCGCGTTCGCCGATCCGGAACTGAATTACGCCATGGAGGCGACTCTCGGCGGCAATGCTTTGTACTTGGCCACCGTTGCCGCCGCCACGGCCGCAGTGCATCAGGATCACCAGCAGCAGCTATATCTTCCAGTGCCGCCTACAAAACCACCGATGGCCACGCCCTCCATCTCGCCCGCTGCCTCTGAAAAGAAGAAACCCAAGCTGAGCTTCTCCATCGAGTCCATCATGGGCATCAGCACGTAACATCGATGAGGAATACCCCATTAAAAACCCCCTCTGTATATATCCCTAGAAATGTACGATCTTTTTTTGAATAGCTATAAGTTTCGTGTGAAATAAAACAATGGAAATGTAATTAATGTTTTATTATCGATGACCTTCAAATATGGCAGAAAGGGGGAACAAAAACAGGTAAGTTACTCATCTCAGATTTACCAGCTGCGACTTGCTATGAGTTATGTTCGCCTGGTACCTCAAATCTTGAAACTCGGTCGAATGAAGGAGATAAAATGATCTTTTGGACCACTAAATAGCCAATTTTCTGGAAAAAAAAACACCAGGCGATCATAAATGCATAGAAGGTGTATACGGTTTTATTTTAATTCGGAATTTCCAGTTGCCACCTGCAATGACGAGCTGTTTTTGTAAACCAAATACCAGGCGCACATAAATGCCTCGAAGCTGGCTGCACAATTTGACAAGCCAGAAGTAGCCAAGTTTCGAACCATGGTTCTAGCCAATGATCAGCAATCGCCATCGACTGATAAGAAATGTTGCATATCTTTAGGAGCTACATTTTTGTCAGATTGTGCGCAACCCCTATAAAATGTTTTATAAAAAAATTGAAAAAATTAATTTTGCAAAAAACCAAGGGGCACCTCCACAAAATATTTAAAAAAAAAACAATATTATTTAAATTTATTAATTTAAAAAAGTTGCTATGCTATTTTTTTAAGACCTACAAACATGAAAGAATACATCTTCAAAAATATCATAATATATTCCAAGCAGGCCAGCAGTAAAAATTAAAAGAAAATGTTGTAAAACATTTAGTCCGGGATCGACATTTCACAGGGTTTTCCCTGAACACCTGAACACCTTTAAATTTCGAAAGATCCAACAAACACCTCGAATTCGAAAGCCCGAAAGGGCAAAACATTGGATCCAAAATTGGGAAATTTTTACAAAATTAACGTTTTATGTTTTTTATGGATTTTGACTGTTTAAACAAGTAAAGACTGCAAAGATGATGAGAAATAGCAGTGAGTTAAATAATTCGCTTGATCAGTAGTCTTTTTACCTTTTTTTGATGTAGAACATGCAACTATTAAACTGTTTTGAAATATTTTAATTGCTTATAATTGTTTAGAAAAGCTAAAAACTGCTTCAGTTATTTTAAAAAATATCTCGATAATGGACCTATCGATCTATCGCGGTCCATCGAAAGCCCAGCTGACAGGGCTGCAGATGTGATATTTTTAAAACTTAATCGCTGCCCGCTTCATCGTGACTTCTTCGCTTGCCATTTCCGCGCGGTGCAACAATAAGAAAAACATCAAGTCGGTAAATCAACGGAAAACAACAACTGACAACATTGCCAGCACTTCGGTTTCGGTTTCAGTTTCAGTTGTTTAATTGCGTCTAGCGGCCAAGGAGCTTTGATTTTTCTGGCTCGATTCTGATTGGAACTCTCACACACTCGCTCACGCGCACACACATTTACTAGGTATATACATATTTAGTGGAATGATAGGTTTATTAATAAGTTTATGCAGGTTTTTGGGATCATAACAATCGCCGTTAGATAATCGCCACGCCCACTTTGCAGGCCCATCAAGGTGAAACGATTAAAAAAGTGCAGCGAAAAATCGATTTTCCGCTCTTGAACTACATAAAGATATATAAACATCTATATGTGCATGGGTATATAAATATAAACACCGTGGCCGAGAAATTCTAATTGGGAGCGCGCTAAGGAAGTGACAGTGAAAGTAATTTGTGCGCCAAAAAAAAAAATAACACAAAGAAGTACCCAGATTTTGTTTATCGTTTTGCGTGTTCCCTTAATTGAATTGCGTGCCGCGTTTTTTTTTTTTACCAATTTGTGTTCCGTTAACAGCTGTTTAGCAAGCCAATTAGCACATCGCAACTCCCCCTTTTGCCCATTATATATTGTTTTTTGTTTGCACCCGCAACGTGTCAATCGAGTTACAATATAATTGGCTGACATTTGGCAATAATTCTGGTCGGTTGGAGCACACCTCATCCGGATTGCCGGATTCTAATTTGATTTCCCTTATCGCCACTATCTTATCCAGTTGGGATGTTTGCCCATACGGCTGATAATCCCCATGCGGGGGGTTAATAGTGCGGAGCAATGGGTTAAACGTGGAGCAAAGTGCACCAGGTCCCCACACCACATTTATTATATTTTATACAGCTGATTGCATAATTCCGATTGTTGTCAAAACAAATAAAAAAAGACAGCGCACAGTGCATATAATGGCAAATATAACAGTGCCTTCCAAAAGTTGTGTATCCACATAGGTTTTCTTCCATACTTTAAAAAAATATGTTATAATATATCCTTGTTTAAAAACTTCTCTATACAAAACGTCTTATTTTTATTGTCAACATGATATCTAATTTAATGGAAATGTTTAGATTTAGTTTACTGTTCAATTTAATAACAAAATTCCTTTGCCAGTTTTATTTATAGACATTAATATTTAAATTTTGACTTTTGAACCGCAAATATAAGACATGTATCTTTCACTTGCACACATTTAGTGATACTCGCAATCAACATGTACTTATTTTATTTAAAATAATTTAAAATTAAAGAATATTGTCTGATTTACTGAATATTAATTTATTACATTTTTGAAAATCCTAGCAAGAGATCACTGTATTCGTGTTTGTTCACCTCTTTAGATCGCAAATTTAGACTTCACTCTCTTTATTCTGTTCCCTTTTTTTGTATCCCCAAAAACTTATAACCGGTTTTTAAAAATCAGAGACAAACGAATCGTCTGCCCAACGAGTTTGAATATAACTTGAATAAACAAAACAGCTTTTATATACCAGCAATATATGCACGTATATATACATAAAACAGCATATGTTTTTCGTGCCATGTATTTAGTACGTTTTTAATTTCTAAAATTCGCTGTAGCTAAAAAGAAAGCAAACAATCTGCGGCTGATTGACGCTCGATTTGAGTGCGAAAAGATATAGTATTTGGAGGTAATGCGATTTCTGGTCATTGGCATGCTGTTAAAACATTCTTTGTCCGCTTTTTCTATTTAAATTACGCAATTGAGGCTTCAAAGTTCAGAAATCACAAATATATTATCTGTACCAAATTGAGAGATGAGGAATTGTACGCTGGGGATGGGACGTCACTGATAAGCTTTGCTAATTTAGTTCAAAGTCAAAAGTACGCTAAGCTGATAGGGGCAATTAATGGATTCCTCTGGATTTTATGGAGAATTAAGGCCATTAAATCATATACATAATTCTAAAGCAAATAGCCAAAAAATCCGTTAACTGCCTCTGAAAAAAACTTCCACTGCGATAAGCGATTGAGTTAAAGATAGTGTTCTAAATTTAGTCATATTTGACGGTTTAAGAAAGCTATAAAATTAAAAATTGTGTTGTATAAAAATGAATTTTTTATTATAGAACCATAGAACCTACCTTTTTTAAAATTCTATATTTCAAATGCCTAAAGATGTTAAATTTATTTAACAGCAAAAGAAAAGTTCGCGCCCAAGTGCAGCAGTTGGGTTTGCGTCCCAACTAAATGCATATCCGCCCAAGCGTGGCGGCAAATTGAAATTAAAGATATTTTACGACGTTCATAAATATTTACTCTTTAATTTTTATATAACCAGAAAGTCCATAAATAAGTTATCGAACCCCTTGCACTGCCATTGATAAGCTCCTCGAAGTTTACTGATAATTTTCTACGCCATTGATTAGATCAAAAATATTACACAGCAAAAAAAAAAAGAACAGATTTTTCACTACTATTTTTCTTTAAATATTTTTTAAAATTTGTATGCTTTTCTAAATTGACTTGCCTTTTTTTGTGCGATGATAACAGCTGGCTTTTAAATTCGCCGCTCTTATAAATGCCAGCTGGACTCTTATACACGCACACACCCTTGATTTAATTCTCCTACTTCTTATGGCAGTGGCGGATCCAGAGACGATTCTTGGGGGGAAATTGAACTTATTCTTCGATTTGAGGTTCAAACTTATTATTGCGAGAGAAATACAGTACAAATTATAAAACAAAAATTATCTATCCCAATTTATTGGTAAACAAAGTGGTTATATTTAAAAAGTCAACCATAGCAAACAAGTAAAATTTTCAGGTTCTCTGGTTCCAAGGGGGGAAATTTCCCTAATTTCCCCCCCCGTGGATCCGCCACTGTCTTATGGTGCTAATTTTTTGCCACTTAGGCGCTGTTTTTTTTCAAAGAGCGCTAGCATTCACTAACTGGTTTCTTCACTCCAATTTTGTTGCAGAAATAATGAGTCGAATGCTAATTAAGCCCGCCGCTGCCACAGTCTCTGCCGCCTTGCAGCAGCAGCAGAGGCAGCAACAACAGTACGTCATTCGCCGCTGGAAATCGTTCCTGCAAAACAGCAACAATGCCAATCGACGCGCGGCGAAAACGACAATGTCGACGTCGACAGCAGCAGCGACAGCGACGTCGCAGCGATACGGCAAAAGCGGCGATTTCATTCAACCGTTAGACGCCCGCCGGTTAGTTTCGCTCGCTAAAGAAGATAGTGAAAAAAAAAATAAATGGAATATCTGAACGAAGTGCTTATATTGTGAATGCCTACCTTTTTTTTCTAGTTCCTTCTCAACCAGCCACAAAATGCCGTCGTCGTCGAAATCGCTGCAGTTGGAGAACATAAACCCCAACTTTATTGCCATGGAATACGCGGTTCGCGGTCCTCTGGTAATTCGTGCTGGGGAAATCGAAAAGGAGCTGGAAAAGGTGAGTACAAATGGAGAGCTTGAATTCAATTAGATTGATCCAAAAGTTATACCAAACAAAGCGCTAAGTGCGACGCCATTATCCAGCGTTTAATTCCCCTTTTGATTCCACCAATTTAATGGCAAGTCCAAAGCCCGCATTTTAATGTCTAAGCACGCTATATCTTTATACATATATATATGTATTGTACGTAAAAAAAATGTGTGCTGTATCTGTGTTTGTTTTGGATGTGGTTGGGCCGCTCCGCTTTGCCGCCCTTTTATTTC